AATAGATTATAAAGATATACCACTAACTCACTGCTTATTGTACAGCTCATTGCACTGTCCCAGCTTATTGTATTACAACAGCTTACCATCCCGAGTTCACCAATAATTAACGTGTGACCTGGATGGCAGTGACAGAGCGCTGGGGGGATTTAGATGCATTATCTATAGATTCTTTTTATTACTCTTTTTGAACTGAATATTATATGTAAAGAAAGAATGTATCTATATTAACTAGATTGCTGGACTTTTTGGCATGCATGAGTTAGTGTGCAGTATGTATATAACTATTAGTATATGTGTTTGTCGGTGTTACATGGCGTGTTTGTGTATGGAGGTAGTGTGCAGAGAGTATATGACTATTAGTATGTGTTTGTCAGTGTTACATGGCGTGTTTGTGTATGGAGGTAGTGTGCAGAGAGTATATGACTATTAGTATGTGTTTGTCAGTGTTACATAGCGAGTTTGTGTATGGAAGTAGTGTGCGGTGTGAGTATATGACTATTAATATGTGTTTGTCGGTGTTACATGGCGTGTTTGTGTATGGAGGTAGTGTGCGGTGTGAGTATATGAATATTAATATGTGTTTGTCGGTGTTACATGGCGTGTTTGTGTATGGAGGTAGTGTGCGGTGTGAGTATATGACTATTAGTATGTGTTTGTTAATGTTACATGGCGTGTTTGTGTACGGAGGTAGTGTGCAGAGAGTATATGACTATTAATATGTGTTTGTCGGTGTTACATGGCGTGTTTGTGTATGGAGGTAGTGTGCGGTGTGAGTATATGACTATTAATATGTGTTTGTCGGTGTTACATGGCGTGTTTGTGTATGGAGGTAGTGTGCGGTGTGAGTATATGACTATTAATATGTGTTTGTCGTGGTGTTACATGCATGGCGTATGGAGGTAGTGTGCGGTGTGAGTATATGACTATTAGTATGTGTTTGTCGGTGTTACATGGCGTGTTTGTGTATGGAGGTAGTGTGCAGAGAGTATATGACTATTAATATGTGTTTGTCGGTGTTACATGGCGTGTTTGTGTATGGAGGTAGTGTGCGGTGTGAGTATATGACTATTAGTATGTGTTTGTCGGTGTTACATGGCGTGTTTGTGTATGGAGGTAGTGTGCGGTGTGAGTATATGACTATTAGTATGTGTTTGTCAGTGTTACATAGCGAGTTTGTGTATGGAGGTAGTGTGCGGTGTGAGTATATGACTATTAATATGTGTTTGTCGGTGTTACATGGCGTGTTTGTGTATGGAGGTAGTGTGCGGTGTGAGTATATGACTATTAGTATGTGTTTGTCGGTGTTACATGGCGTGTTTGTGTATGGAGGTAGTGTGCAGAGAGTATATGACTATTAATATGTGTTTGTCGGTGTTACATGGCGTGTTTGTGTATGGAGGTAGTGTGCGGTGTGAGTATATGACTATTAGTATGTGTTTGTCGGTGTTACATGGCGTGTTTGTGTATGGAGGTAGTGTGCGGTGTGAGTATATGACTATTAGTATGTGTTTGTCAGTGTTA